TTAATTCTGTGAGAGAAATCAATAACAAATTTATTCAATCAGACAAATTTTTTTGCATGATTAGATTATTTACATAAATTAGAACTGGTTTGATAACTTTTCATTTTAGTTTTATAAAATTGTGCTTGTTTTCTCATAGTTTCTTGACAATGACTTTCATTTTTGTCACAGAAACATTCAAATCCTTATTCAAAACAACTTTTTCAGCTTTCAAAACTTAAAGCATATATAAAAAAAGATAGCAGAACAAAGAAACTGACAAGTAGAAGGATTGTTTATGGGTATTATTTTTAAAAATCAAATATTTTAACATGAATATACTAATAAAATACCTTGTGCCACGGATGGGCTTTGATCTGAGGGAATCTAAAATCTGTATAATTAGGATTCATGCATCGAATTTCTTCTCGAGTTGGAGTGCCAAGAACCTGGAAATTGGTAAAAAGAAAAGAACAAGTTATAACAACCATACTTCCATGACCACAAGGAATATGTTCTCACTGAACCAGGAAATAGGCTTCACCTTGATTATCTCAACCAGTTGATCAACTGCACTTTCCCCAGGAAACAATGGCTACAAAGAGAGAACAAAAGTTAAATTGGATGGCTTTCATAACCTCTCTCTCCAGTAAGTAATAATCAGAAACTGCCTCAAGATGCCAACCTGTCCTAGAAGCAGCTCGGCAAGAACACAACCAGCTGACCATATGTCGATGGACGTAGAATACTCCGTTGCACCAAATATGAGCTCAGGAGCTCGGTAGTAACGGGAGCATATGTACGAGATGTTTGCTTCACCTTTAACCTGACGGCAGAAATATAATAAAGATACTGTCTACAGAAAATGGTAAATAGAAGAAAGAGTAATAATTATTCGTGAACCAATTGTCAATACTATAACTTGATAGCTATGCATAATAAGCAAGTCTCAAAATCGGATGTCATAATTTTAGGCCACTTTCTGAGTATCTACCACATACAGAAATCGTACGATAACTTAACCTTGAGCAAATATTCATTTTATTTCTCTCAAATAAAATCATTTGGCTAATTGAGGACCTATATCTTGTCACTCAAATAAATTCGTTTGTTTTTGGTGTAAAACCAGGCTCCGAATCAATGGCCATTAAACTTTGAGCATATGCATAGCCTTGTTCAACATTTAAAAGATAGACATAATATAAACTATACCAGGACTTTTGCGCTGCCAAAATCACAAAGCTTGACCTGATGCGTGAGAGGATCGACCTGGAAAGTTTATTCTAAGTTAGAAGGAAACTTGAATGAACATGCAAATTGTAAGATGCTGATCTAATCGAACAAGTAGGAAGCTATTTGTAGCTCACAAACATTAAGAGACAAATAGATTGCATACCAAAAGATTGTGAGGCTTTACATCTCGATGACAAACCCCTGGAACAATGTGTATATAAGCTAGCCCCCTAAAGATCTAATAAACACTTTAATTTAGTATTGGAATGAAGATGAAAAAGGACAGAGAGAAAATGTTGAATAGTATCTGAGTGTGTGAGTTCATACTTGATAAGTGTAAAGTTTCACATAGATGAGTGGCATCCTCTGGTTCATAGTGCAGTAGTGCCTCAGTACTCGATACATAGTCTCCGGAACGTATTCCATAACCAGATTTAAGAAGAGTTCATCTTTACTGGTTGTAGAAAAAAAACAGTGCTTCAAGGAAACAACATTTGGATGATCCATCAAGCGCATCAACTGCAGCTCACGATTTTTGTAACGTCTGTCCTGCAAGACTTTCTTTATTGCAAAAGTCTCCCCAGTTTCCAAGCATTTAGCCTAAGAAGAGTATTAAAAAAAGTTTAATGGAAAAGAAGAAAGGAAAAGAAAGGAAAATTTGACATTAGTTTTATTGATTTTTTATACCTGGAAAACGATTCCAAACGATCCGGAACCTACAACACGTTCCGCCATGTAGCTAATAGTCTAAAGCAATGTGAAAATCAACGAAACAAAAGTGAGCAGTTTAGCCACTCAAACATTGGAGAACATTAGAATGCATTAAGTGTTTCTGAGCACCAAGTTACAAGTCTTGGTTGCCATACAAGATGAGGAAAAATGACCGACCAAAATTTTTATTATAATAACTAAGTTGAAAAAATATGAAGCCAATAAGTTATTTTAAGTCAAAAATAAAATTATAACCTGTTTTGGCTCGCCATTTTTTCCTCCAATAGTAGTGGAGATTATGTGACCAGTTACTGCATCCTTGCTCTCTACAACAGTCGATGACATTTCCTACAAATTTGTAGACACATATAACAAAAGATGAGTTAAATGCCTAAACTATAAGGATGGCCGACATTTGAATACTTGGCAAATAACACCTCCCAAACTTAATGATATCAGCTACCGTCGAATGGCATTGATAAAAATACAAAAGTCAACAGTGCCTATCGAATATACATCTCTTTTTTTTTTTTTAATCAGAAACAGACTCTTTTCTTGATCATATTTAATATTAGTTCTCTTTTTCTACAGTGAAATGATTTGCTATGCGTGCAAATACCATTAAGGCTTGAAACACTAGAATACAAGAATATTTCTTGTCTAGAATTTTGAACTATCTGCATTTTCCGATGCTAGTGCTTGGAATGCCTGTGAATAATATGATGCGTCAAGAAAACTATGAAAAAGGAGAATCCAGTTTCAAAAAGTAAAAAAACGCTCGATGTCTTCAAAATATAGAATAATGAAAAGTTGAAAGATAAATCTCTCAAGAAACGCATAGGAACCACTCTCCTCCCGAAGGAAGATCAAATAAAATAAAAACTCGTTGTGTGTCTAAACAAGGCAAAAATAGAAAGAATCAAACATCATCAAAATCCTCAAGCAAACTGCAAAGGTTTGAAACACAAGCAACCAAAAGGCAAAATACTCAAATAGTTGAAACTACTGTACCTGAAGGCCAAAACATGTACTACAATACTCAAACCGACAAATCATATTCAAGTATCAAGAATTGATCACCTATGGAGAAAATATTTATCTCTTTAAGACAATAAAGCATATCAAACAAATTCAAGATAGAACACGATCTAACAAAGCAACTGCAGGCCGAATCGGATTGAGGTGTCATTATAATAGTACAAAATCGAGAGATGGAAAGAGAACGAAACACCGTCAGCAACTAAGAAGACAAAATTTGAAAGGAAAAATATGCGAAGAGATCCGTATTCGGTTTCCGACAACACAAATTTACTGTTCTTTGAGGAGGTCCAGAGGAACAAAAGGCTCTAACTAGATAAATGCGCGTTTTATCTACTATTAATTTTAGCAGTCAAACTAAAAGCTCGAAATCAGGAGGATATCAGTCGAACGTTCCGAAATAGAAGAATGCAGCACGAATAGCATACAGTTTCAAGTAAACATAAAAGCAGTTCTAAAACTCGATCCACAAAATCTCATCGATCGCATTCTCGGTCACAAAATCTCACCGAACTCCTCTGATCAGAGACCATAAGCATTACAAAATCAACACGATCGCTAATAAATTGTTCAGACGCGAACAAAACAACACGAGATCAAACGCGATCCATGAACCGACGCCAGAAAAACTACAACAAACACTACAAACCTCGAAAAAAAAAAAAAAGAAGCAAAAATCACCTTATCGGAGTCCATTTCAGAATCACGGAGAGTGCAGTCTGATGAGGTTCAGAGGATCATTTCCAAAGCCAAAGCCAAAGCCAAAGCCGCAGAATCTCCGGTAAGCCGACAATGAAATGCGATAAGCACTACAAATCAGAAGGCAATGCGAGATTGAGAGAACACTGAGGTCTCGCCGTTTCAATTTCTACGTGGAATTTCTCGGTTCGTTCATCATCTTCACAGTGAGAGAGTTTGAGAAGAAAGAGAGAGAGAGAGAGAGAGAGAGAGAGAGAGAGAGAGAGAGAGAGAGTGGTAGACCAACTCGATTAAGAGAGTGCCGAATGGTCCAGTCAGAAAGCTTTATAGAAATGGTATCTTATGATCTTATCTACGTCCAGTGTCAGTGCCGGTGGTTCTGTGGTAGACGCAACATGGTAACTAATATGGACCTGCGGCCACGTGGGCGAATTCGACGAGGATCGCATGATTTGGAACCCAATTATTCACCATTTTAAAACAAATACCTATTTCTCATTTATTATTCACTATATTGTATATGTAGTATTTATCTTATTGGTAATAATTTATTGTAACCAAATTGATTTACTAATATTGTATTTTTTTTCTTTTTTCTAATAATATATAAATATAAATTGGCAACAATATTTTTAACCTTATAATGAACATTTTAAACCTAATCTTGCTTTATAGTTTAGTGTTAGAGTCCATTAAAATATTTTTAATTATTTTTTTCTTTTAATCAAGAGAATACAATCCCGTGTGTAAAATAGTCCAAACTCACCGCTAATATATATTACGTATCGTCGTCAGTCTCACAATTTTAAAATACTAAAATACAGTCTTTTAGGGAAAGATTAAGAAATGCTCTATTCCCCTCTCTAACTAGCGTGGGATCTCACAATTCACCCATTGAATTCACCCCTGCAAGGGCCAATGGTCGACACACCGCCCCCAATCTAGCTTTTATACCATTTGTAATACCCCAAGCTCTTCCCTTTTAAACTTCTCCTTAAGGTTTTAAAACGCGTCATTTAGGGAGAGATTTTCAAACTGTTATAAAAAATACTTCATTCCCCCTCCAATCAATATGAGGATCTCGCGAGGTGCTCATACAAAAAAATCTGAAGTCTACATAAATTATATATTTAAATATGCTTAATCAATTATTCTTTTAGAATATTACATAATCCAATTAAGGCAGGGAGCTTTCTAGATAAAATTCATAAAATAAGTTTAGTAATTTACGTTTCAACCCACGAAATTGGCAATAATTATGTTACCTTAATTATAGTCTTAGCATTAATAAATATGTATTAAGTTTCATTAACACGTAGAAACTGAAAAGACGACAGAAATTAGGTAAAAGAAAGCATCTTTCTTATTTGTAGCTATTGTATATATATTATTGTTCTTACTTCTTAATTAATCTAGTTAATTAAGATTAATTATTAACTAATTAAGATTAACTAATTGACTACCCTGCAATTTCGTCTAATCTCAGTGGGTAATCCAGACGGAGGACTAAGATTCCCCATCTTAATCATTGCGTTTACGAAATCCTTTCTAAAGGTTAGGAGACTTTTACTGTAAGTCTGAACCAAGGCGTCTTGTGAGCCGCCGTTGAAGAGCTCTTGGTCCGAATGTAACAGCCCGCGCAGTTCAATCAAGTCTTTGAAATATTGGTTGTCGAACCTCTGGGTGGTCGAGTCGAGAGGGGCCAAGTTCATGTCGCCGCCCGTGAACGGACAGTTGGCTCTCTTCTGTTTGGCGAAGGCGGGATCGATGTTGGTATCGTTGTAAATGCGTCTTCGGAAGAATCGACAACTAGCCATACCAATGGTATGGGCGCCGGAGAGGGTAGTCATCTCATCGGCGTTGAAGCCTTTGGCATTGAACATCGAGATGAGCGTCGGGAGGTTGGAGCCTGGCCCCGGGAGGTCGCTGTTAGCGTCACTCTCGCTCGCCGTCCTCGAATCCTTCCGACCAAGTGGTACTTTCCAATCAGGACCTCCAAGCTATAAATTTTAAAAAACCAAGTCAATGTATGATCCATTCTGATTTCGTACGTACTGCATGTAAAATCATGCAACATAGTGAAAGGATAAAAAAAAGGGCTAAAATTACCAAATCAACCCCATCTCGAGTGGCAAGAGCAAGAATATCAGCACAAGAAACGGTGTTCTTGCAAGTAGCTTCGACTTCGGTTTTAATTTTGTCAATCACTTCGAACCCTCTAACTGAGTCTCGATTAGGAAATGCATTTTTTTCGCCCGTAAATGTCGGTGTATCATCGAGCAATATACTACCATCACAACCCTACATTTAAATTAACGAGTTACAGTAAATTTAATTATATAACATCTCGTTCAAAATGTCATAGAAAACCACGTGAAAATAGTTTCTCTCGAAATAGATAAGTTATCGTATTAATATTGCACAGATTTGTTCTAAAGATCATACGTTCGAGTTTCACCATACATTAACAAAGCAATCGTGGAAGAACAGGCGAAGAATTGAAGCTCCTATACGTTTTTCTGCAATAACAGCTTTGTTCATAACGGAACGAACAATTCGTTCGAGATTGGGACAACTTTTAGCGTAAAAGTTGGCTGAGAGCTGAGCATTGGCTGAGAAGGCTAAAAGGGAAAGAACAATAAAAAGATGGGAAATGGACGCCATTAGAGCAAAAAGGAGGAAGAAAGTTTGAGTGTGAGGCTTTTGCTTTGAAGGGTTGATTTATTTATAGATAAGAAATATTCTAGAGGGAAAGGGTTTTTTTTTTTTTTTTTTTTTTTTTAGCTAAATTAATAAAAATGCCACCTATAAGTTTAATAATAATTTTAAATTTTAAAAAAATAAAGTTAAAAATATTCTTACAAATAATACTTTATTTCATAAATAAACTTGAATTTTCAATAATATTTCAAATTTTAAAAAGCTTCATTAGTTTATTAAAATACAAAATAGGAACTAAAAGTATAATAAAGTCTAACCATTAAAATTTTCCAGAAAATAAAAACAAAAATTAAATGCAAAAATTAAATATTAAACAGTTGGATAAACGACACTAAAAATTTATTAAAGTTAGGCAGAAATTAAATATTACTGCGCACGTGTGAAAATGTTATCATTTGTAAGAAATAAGAGCCTTCCACTAACGGCAACTTTGATTATTTACACAAATTTATAAATACCATCTCAAAATTCTATAATTAATTAGTGGAAGATTAATCTATTGAAATTAAAACTCAAAAAGTCAAATTTTGATTATCATTAGAACAAGATAGTTATAAATAAATTAATAAATATTTGTGGCTTAGCTTTTTTTTTTTTTGAAAGGAAGGGTGAATGTGATATTTAGTACCTTGTTTAAAAATATATATTTTAATACTTTGTTAAAAAAATGAAAATGGCTCTATAATATCTTATCTAAAAGTGACTATAAGAAACCGTTATTTTAGACCAAATTTATGAACTCTCACATGGAAAAGGGGAGCGAAACATTCGTGGTGTGAAAATGTCTTCCTAGTAGACTTATTTTAAAACTGTGAGGCTGGCGACGATACATAACGAGTCAAAGAGGACAATATCTGTTAACGATAGATTTAGGCTGTCAAAGATAGTATCGAGGAGAATGAAACCTTTTTTCAACAAACGAGGTTTAAAATTGTGAAACTGACAAAGATTTGTAACAGGCAAAAAACAAACCATACTTGTAGACCGTGTAGTTAAAATACATTAAATTACTACATGTATAGCTTATTATTATTATTATTATTATTATATGTATGTATGAAAATCTAAAATTTTCATTCATTTGATTGTCTATTTAAACTTTTAAAATAATCACAAACGGTTTCATCCATACACAAAACACACCATACCCAAATTTTCAAAACGTTAATTACATCACAAATACTATGACGGGAGAATCAATGACACATCCTATGAATTCAAATTCTTACACAAGAGTCACCGACGCAGTCGGTAACTGAGACAATAAACAGTTAGCATATGAATATGAATTTCTTACAGCAACACAAACGAGTCTAAAATCTATGTTAGCTAACGAGAAGCAATCGTCGAGAGACAACCTGTTCTTTCATTCAGTCTTCCGAACTAGCCTTGTCGTGCGCCACAGGCGACTTGGTAGCGCTGGAACTAGAACCGCTACCAATCTTCGAAGCTGTCCTGTAATTTCTCACCAGTGGAACCAGTGACTGGACAACATCGGCCATCAGCGGCCTGTAATCTGCCTCTGGTTGAACACACATTGCGGCTATGGCTGCAACTTGAACAACATCCTTCATGGAGTATTGACCCTCCAATGCAGGGTCCATTATATGCATCACTTTCTCCCTATCAGTCAGCCTCGGCAAAGCCTATCTCACCAATTGACATCCGAACGTACGAGAAATAAGTATTGAAGTTAAGAAATTAGAAACGGAAAATCCGAGTCATCGACGTTAGTTTGAGAACTTGGTCAAGTAAGCTTACCCAAGAAACAAGGGAAGCTTCCCCAGGAGTTCTCTTCATATCAACTGGAACTCTGCCTGTAAGCAGCTCCAAGAGGACAACCCCGTAACTATAGACATCTGACTTTGTTGTCAAATGCCCTGTTAGCGCATACCTGCAAGAAAAATGTCACTAAAACTTATAAGAAGGCCGTTCCCGTGCGCTTCAAAAAACGGGGCAATAATGATGGTATTGTGCGATCTACTTCGTTCTCCTCTCCAACTAATGTGTGATCTCACAATAATAATAGTATTGTGAGATCCCACATCGGTTGGGGAGGAGCACGAAGCATTATTTATAAGGGTGTGGAAACCTCTCCCTAGTAGACGTGTTTTAAAAACCTTAAAAGGAAAGCCCGAAAGGGAAAATCCTAAGAGAACAATATCTGCTAGCGGTGAGCTTGAGCCGTTACAAAAACCATCAACTATTGTCATGAAAAACAACGCAAAATAGTCATCTAGGATGAAGGTTCTTACTCAGGCGCAACATATCCTTGTGTCCCCAGTACTCGAGTGGATACATGTCCCCCGACTTTGTCTGAACCGATCTTTGCCAATCCAAAATCAGAAACCTTGGCATGAAGATTTTTGTCCAACAGAACATTGCTGCTCTTGAAATCCCTATGAATTATTGGGGGGCTTACATGTTCATGTAAATACTCCAAACCTTTGGCAGCTTCAAGCGCAACTCTCAACCGCGTTTCCCAGTCCAACTTAACACTGACTGAATTTGAACCTGGATTTTAAATTTCACTAATGAAAAACAAAAAAAGAAAAAGAAAAAGAAAATCGTGTTCTATATTGCGGACTAATCGTGTTCTATATCTATTACTTACTGCTAACAGGATACAGATGTTCTTGCAGACCGCCATTAGCCATGAACTCGTACACCAGCAATTTATGATTGCTATTAGAGCAATACCCGAGCAAGGCCAACAAATATGGTGAATGAAGTCGACTTAACAATTCCACCTATCGACAAGGTTATCGACCAATCAATAATCGGTTTCTAAAGCCCAAAGAACAAAGGCTAAATATCTGTTTAATGTACCAAAGCATACAAAATGAGACTAGAAATTACCTCCACTTTAAATTCATCCTCTCCCTGCTTCCCTGCTTGATCCATAAGCTTAATCGCAACCTTTCTCCCATCGTTGAGAACTCCTCGGTATACATATCCAAAGCTACCGTGCCCGACCACATTTGACTTGCTAAAGCCACAGGTAGCTGAGTATAGCTGCTTGAAGGTGAACACTTGGAGGCCTTTCTCGGTGGAAAATTCTTTAACATTGTCAAAACTACCTCCCTTCTCAAGATCATCCCCTTCAAGAATCAAATTACCATCAATTTTATGATATATGCCGAAAAATTAAAAGTTTAAAAGCTAAAACCAAGTTCAAACTAGGAATTGATCTTTGAAGCATAGAGGGGAAAACTCAGGCCACAGAAGTCCAAATAGTGGCGACGTACTCTTTAAGTGAATGAAATGTGTTCGTATTCTCGTTTTGGTAAGGAATACATGTTGAATACAACTCTTTGTGGAAAACATTCGCACTGTTTGTTAAAACCAATCGAGAAGAGATTACAAAACACTCTGTAGAATACCACTACACTTTGTTCTACTTGAGCCTGCTTGGAATTTCTTGGGAATAAAACTTTGTTAGGGTGGATAGGTATTTACAGGAGAGGCTAGACAATTTATTCCTAAAATATCTAATCATCTATTCCTAAAACACCTAAATCATTTTCCTAAAATATACCGACAATGGACTCATATAATTATTGGGCTTGACCCTATTGTGCTAGTGATGATATTTTAACAACAATTATTTATCTAAGTTCAATAACACGCAAAGATGAGGATGAGAAATCGAATCTCTGACCATTTGATCGAAGATATAATTGCTTAACTAGTTGAGTTATGATCAAAATAACAATAAAAAACGAAGTTCCTAGATATTTGAACACAATCACCTGAATGTATATTTAAGGTTTATATAGCATAACGATAACGATGATTTACGAAAAACCAAATAGATACAAATATATGTTCTTATGTAATAGATGCAAATGACCAATATGAGTATAGCTTAGCAGTAAACGACATCTACTCCTACCTTTAAGGCTCGAGGTTCAAATCCCAAGGAGTTTCCAAACATTCAGAAGTTTCAATTTCCTTAAACTACCAAAGCAAAATAATCACAACCATCCTTGCAATAAGTGAATGGCATTAGAGGAAATACACAGATGTCGACCATGAGAAATAAATGCATTAATTATAAGAAGAACCTCCAAGAAAGTGGACCACAAGAAAATTTTAAAACAAAATCCTCCTCAGTCATTAGTCATTACTGTTGTGCCGACAAGTTTTATTCATACAGGAAAAGGAAATTTCAGATACAGAGAAGAAAAAGCCCCAAATCAATCACCACAGTTCAATATATAGACATCTCCATTGAAATACTTAGCTAATCAACAAGATGCTGGAGGAAAGTGAAAGAAAACTAAATGAGTCTAAAAATGATACCAAATGAAGCGTACTTTTGCGGATTTTGAGGCGTTTAGAGACCTTATTGCTGATATAGCAGTAATAGCTGAAAGCGACGAGCAAAGAAACGAGAGCCAAGGAAGCGAGTACAACAATTGCCACAAGAACGAGTTGCTCTTTTCTTCGGTACTCTTCGTCGACTTCCATTTCTCGGATCCAAACAAGAACAGCGAAACCCTAGGCTCTTTAAAGCGATTGAGATTTTAGAATATGCAGCGATGGTGGTGGGGGCGAAGGAGGAAGAAGATGAAGAACAGTGACTTAGTTTTGGAGTGTGAAAATACTGACACTGCCTCTCCTCCCTCCACACTCTCTGTTTGCGTGCCTTTTTCTTTTGTGTTGTTTTGTTTTATGGCGCGGACAAGGGTAACTTTTTTATGTTATTGCATTTGGGTCCTTGGACTTTTGTTATATTGCGATTAAACCCCTCTCTTTTTTTTTTTTTTACTTTTTGGGTGCACTTTATAGAAAATTTTGAAAAGTTTTTTCTTTCCTTTTTCTAATTTTGTCTTCTTGTGATACTATGAAAAATTTATTGTCTCGACTTTAATATAAATATATATATATATACCCCATAGAAACTGTGTATGTCCTTAGGCCCGTAGGTCCTAACACCATGTTAGAATTCTAGTTTTTCCAGAGTGGTATCTCACTGATGGCTCGGGATCTCTCGAAAGGGGGCCTTCTTCGGGCTCCACTTAAGCTGCGCAGGAAAGGCCCAAAGCCAATTCCAAGGAACAGTGACGCCTCATAGGGTATTTCTGTCCAGATGCAGTTAGTCGGCATATACCGATAGTCCATATATATATATAATTTAGACCTTTTGTGAAAAAAGAAAAAAATGTTTTTAACTTTATAGATTATTAAAAGATTAGAGTGTGCAATTTGAAGTATTTTATATAATATAATTTTAATTTATGACAATAGTTAAAAAGTGACCCTTTTTTTTGGCCAAAAAAAGAAAAGAAATTAAATCTCATGGAAAGGATCAAACCATAAAGAAGAAAAGGAGAAGGATGAGGAAGCTTTTTGTCTTTGAAATAAAATTGATTCACACACCTTTTTTTTTTTTTTTTTTAATAATATATTTGTTTAAATACCAAATCAAACAAATTCAATAATAATTGATGTTTCAATATTATTAACATTAAAAAAATATAATAACAAAAACTACATAACTCAATAAAATTAGAAATTTGAAATCAATATAAATTACCACCCATTGAGAATTACAAGAGTAATATATTTATTATAAACAGATATCACTAAAATGTCATAAATAGAGTAAAAAATTTAAGAAATTGAATTGAATAAAAAATTTAATAACTTGAATTGAATCTTTATATGTTGTACTTTGACTACATATTTGACCTTGACTAGATAATGGTCCCTAGTTTTTACGTCACTTTACAATTTGATTTCATCACTTGGAAATATCAATTTTGCCCTTATTGTATAAAAAATTCTCAATTGATGAACCCTCCCACAAAATAAAGTTGTTAAATCAAGTTCAAAATCATTAAATTATTGATTAATTTTTGCTAAGAGCTTATGTCCATTGTCAAATCCCAGTTAAAAATGAAAATATTATTCATTGTTCTAAAACAACTCGTACTCAATCTAATTAGGGTTAAAGGAATTTTTTTTAACGGTATGTAAAGTAAAAAATTTCTAACGAGTCTTGTCAAGGGGCATATTTTATGTCAATTGAGTCATTCTCAAGTTGACATCTAAGCTGAGTAGAAATCATCTTATCCCGTACAGTTTTATTCCTATTTAAGAGGCGATTTACCGAGATGTTACAGAGACGGGGAAATATATGGAAAACCATGCCGTGTATAATCCCAAAAAACGACTTGAAAATGTAAGTGTTCATGAGAAATCAAAGTAAAGTCAATTCACAGTACACAATATCTGAAGCCAAAAGCTCTTGTTATAGTCAAATTCACCACTTACATAATAACCAAACGGCCTAATAATATAAGCCCTCCTACTTTTTTCCACGAAGCTTAGTTCCAAGAGCTCTCTCAAGCTTGGTGATTATTTGTTGATTTGGAATGGCTTTGCCAGATTCGTACTCCTGAATGATTTGTGGCTTCTCATTGATCAACTAAACCAAAAACAAACAGAAAAAAGATGAAAACAAAAGCTCATCACGTCTCTGCTAGCAAGCTCAAAGAAGAATATGGCCAGTAACCAACCTCGCCCTGTGCGGGGCAGGCGTCGGTAAGGTTCATAAAGAAAATGCAAATGAAGTGGGCAAAAGAATCAACAGAAATGATGCATACTTGAGCAAGCTGAGACTGAGTGAGCTTCTTATCTGTTCGAGCCTGCATAATGGCCTTCTTCAGCTCAGTTGGTACCTTTTCATCTGTGGTTAAGTAGATGAGCAGAAAAACCAAAATGTTAGTTTAGCTCCTATTATAAATCCAGAGCAAGGAGAAATCCTCTATAGCGAAGATTAAACTCGCAAAGCATTGCTTGCATTCACAATGTGAGACATGGTTCGATGTTGCAGTTTCTCAACTTGAGGTTCTAGAAGCAGCCACGACACAACAAGTTTGGGCTTGTATTAATTTCCATAAGCAAAAAGACAAGCAAGCTTGAAAAATGCTAAAAGAACGGTTAAAAGAAAAACAAAGGATATACAGTATAAGATTGAATGCAAACTACGAGAGCAAAAGTGTCGTTTAACAATACTCACTAATTTATAGGTATACTTTGTGAAACTTGATCTTGGTACATGATAAAAGGTTAAAAAGAATTATAATTATTTTCTTCTAATGAGAATGATATTTCATTCATGTACAAAAAGGGGCAAGAAAGCATCCTGAAGCTAATGGAAATTGCATAAAAGCCTTCCAATTAGCCAAGAATCAAATAAGCTAAAATAATAAAGGAAATGAAAGTGCTTCATGGTTTGAAGCGAATTTTAGAAGCTCCAAACTTCTCTATACAATATTGTACCATCAAATATCAAGGAAGATATATCTTAATTCATTATGGAACCATGGAGGGTGGAAGGGAAGGGTATGTCCCTAAGTGTTACAGTTACCCCTCAAGGAACAAGAAATTGTTTGGAAGGTAGATTGATCTTCTACCAACACTTGGGCTAACTATGAGATCCCGCATCGATTGGAGAGGAGTACGAAGCATTCACTATAATTGTGTGGAAACCTCTCCCTAACAGACGCATTTTAAAAACCTTGAGGATGAGCCCGAAAGGGAAAACCCAAAAAGGACAATATCTAGCAGTGGGCTTGGGCTGTTACAAATGGTATTAGAGCCAGACACTAGGTAGTGTGCTAGCGAGGACGCTAGGCCCAAAGGGGGGTGGATTGTGAGATCCCATGTCGGTTGGAGAGGGAAAATAAGCATTCTTTAGAAGGGTGTGGAAACCTGTTCCTAGCCGACGCATTTTAAAAACCTTGAGAGGAAGCCATAAAGAAAAAGTCCAAAAAAGACAATATTTGCTAGCGTTGGGCTTGAGCTATTATACTAACAAACACTTGCTTCTTCTCATGACAGTGTTAAAAGGGATACAAGGACTTGACCATAAATTCCAAAAATATTTTCCCTTTTACAAAAAGTTTCATTTCCATTTTTGGTTTCGTTAAGCCCATGCAACATCCAATGCTAAACAAGTCCCAGAGGATCGAAGTATATTACATTCTAATCAATGAAAGATACTTCCCAAATTTCAATATTACATAATTTGCAGATATTCACATCAGAAAACTAAAAAAGTGAAACATAACATGAAATTCCTAACTACTATCCTAAAAGTATCCATAACAGTTTGAAATGCTCTCTAAGTGCATAGTAAATACTCTTCTGAAGTCAACATACATACATGCATACATAATAGTGAACGCAATAAAAATGGTGAGAACAAAATAAATCTCAACACTAGCAAGAAATTAATATTGACAGGTAAGGAGGGGATCAAAAATAAACCACAAGATTTAAGGTTGATTCATCGTCTTCCATTGGGAAAGTGTCGCCTACATTTATCTGTAAACAGCATTAAGATGTAATGTACTCACGAGAGAGATTTTCTGTCTCATCATCCAACTTCCTGGTATTCAAACTAGTACCGCTAGAGGCAGCTTTATTTGTCCCAGCATTAGCTGAAGAAAGAAAGAAAAAACAAATCACAATACGGAAAAAATGGCTTTAATTTAGTGGTTTCATGAAAAAATTAAAGGAGAAAAAGGGAATAAGTGGCTAAGAAATTCATCTGAAGTGAACTGATTTTCTTTCTTTTTTCTGTTCTTGTTGAAACATATGCGAAATTAATTTATTCTAGAATGTTTATAATATTACCTTCAACAAGAAGTTTTAGAACACATGGACCGAGTCTAATTAATTGACCAATTAACAACACAGAGATAAGATATAGACCGAAAGGATTAAATATCCCCCAAATGAGAAAAGCCAGAATGAACCACGAGTCATAATACAATCAGTATTCAAAAAACGATGATAACGTCAAATTTCCACAAACAAATCACAATGGAACTAGTTCATCATCTATCAGTTCGAGCGAACATCAAAGAGCGATAAACAAATTTCCACAATCGAGCACCATTTCAGTAAAAGGAAAAAAAAAAAACGCGACAATGATATCTCAAATTCAAGATCAAAACTCATTCTACAAGCACGAAAGGAAAAGAAATGTTGCAGGATTGATGATGAATAATAGAAATAAAACAGAAAAGAGAAATGGAAATAGGAGCAAACATTTCTTTAAGGTTTCGATCTCGGCACCGGCGCGGCGGGCGGCGTTTACAGCTTTCTCGTCCTTCTTGGCGGCGGCGTTGGGAGCCTTCTTCCTGATGACAACAGGTTCCCAATCCTGTGAAATGGGTCCAATTCCAGACATTCTCGTCTCCTCTACCTGTTTCTGCAACTCTCTCTGCGGTAGGAAAATGTTTGCCGCCGAGCTTTAGGGTTAGAAGATAAATGGGAAAAGTAAATAGAAACAAAAACTCGATATATCCCCCATACGCCTCCTGGCGGTAATAAATACAGAGTTCTACATATTTTACCCTTCATTTCCACAAAATTAAAAATTACGCTAAATATTTATTTTTAGAAAAATACTAAGCGCCCGTAAGAACAATTTAATTTTTTACTCTACAAAATTAAACCTATAAATACTGCAGTTTTTTTTTTCAAAACCGAAACATATATATATATATAAAAAATATAAATATATTTTGAAATTTGTGTTTTTAAAATTGGATTAATAATTCTAATATTTTGAAAATTTGTGTTTTTGTTGTTGGGATATGAAGATCAATGACGAGATATATTTGGAAGATATTTGGTAAAGGATA